GCCCCTGAAGGTGGGGAAGCTGGGACCTCTGGATGCTGTGGGGCTGGCCGTGCTTGGCCATGAACTCCCATTCATGCCAGCTCACTTCCCCTCTCTGGGAAAAGCTGTGGCCCACATACCTGCCTTACCTCCCGCTGCTCCTCTGCCCCCTCCCAGAGGGTCTGGGAGGGGCTCCCTCCACCACAAAATGGCCCATGACAAGAGCTGCCTGGGCCCCAGAGGGAGAAGGGAAGAACCCGTAACCAGCCCCAGCCTCAGCAACCGGGCGAAAGACCTGGGGGCTGACACTGCCGAAGACTGCGGTGATCCAGGTACTGTGCCAGGTGATTCAAGTTTCTTGTCAAATTTGATCATTGCCGCCAATGAGGCTGCCATTGCGATCTCCCTTTTATAGGTAAGAAAGGAGGCTCAGAGGGCAAGAGTCAGCCAAGGTCACGTGGTTCCACACTGTGGTGCAGGCCGGGCTGACCCCAGTGTCCTCTGGTGATGATGCAGACATTAGTGCTGTACAGAATTTGCCCCCCCCAGGCAAGGCAGCCCCTGCGAGCCTCGGGGAGGCACGCTAGTGTGCTCTACGCACTTTCTTACGAATGAAGCAGTTTTCGTACCTCAATCTATGGGTGAGGAAACTAAGTCTCAAAGACGTTCTTTGTCACTTCCCAGACCCTCACGGCAGATAGGGGCAGCGCTGGGCTGGTGTGAGAGGGAATTCACAGTGCTTACAGCTTTGGGATTCTGCCGGCAAAGCTGACATACCTATAGTCACATCAAAAGACAAAGCCAATTCCACTGCAAGGTTTTCGTTCAGAAATCTTCCAGTGCCACTCATGCCATGCTCAGATAAACGAGGGCTTGTGGGGGGTCACTGGGAACAGACCCAGACACACATTATATGTCAGAATCGCTCTTCACTAAGAACATCTTGGTGTTTCGTGTAGATTTCCATTCTGTCCTATGTATCTTCTATACCTGTGCTCTCTGAGCAGCCAGAAATTGCTCTAGGATGTCATAAATCAAAGTGGGTACCTTCCTCCTTTCCTCTCTCCCTCAGACAAATGCTCCACTTCATGGGAAACTGCTAAGGAACACGGCTAAGATCAGCTAGAATATTTTAAAGAAAAGTGTTTCTCCTGCTGTTCCAGCATATCAACAAAAGGTCAGAAAAAGTATATAGTAATTCCTAGGGTAGATCAAGCCTCTCTGCGTGCCCCAGTTAGAGTGCTCTGTGTGCCAACTAGGAAATGTCAAAGGCACTAAGGAATGAATTTCATGTTTTTTTTTAAATTGAGATACAATTGGCACATAACATTATATTATTCTCAAGTACACGACATAGTTCAGTATTTGTATAAATATTGCAGAATGATCACCACAATAAATCTAGTTAACATCCATCACCACACGTAGTTACAGAAACTTTTTTCTTGTGATGAGAACTTTTAAGATCTAGTTTCTTAGCGACTTCCAAATATACAATACAGTATTATCAACTATGCTGAACACTACATCTTAGGAATTCGTTATTTTATAACTGGAAGTTTGTATTTTTCAACTGCCTTCACCACGTCGCTCACTCTAAATTTCAATTTATTTTATTTTATTTTATTTTTTTTTGTGGTACGCGGGCCTCTCACTGCTGTGGCCTCTCCCGTTGCGGAGCACAGGCTCCGGACGCACAGGCTCAGCAGCCATGGCTCACGGGCCCAGCCGCTCCGTGGCATGTGGGATCCTCCCGGACCAGGGCACGAACCCGCGTCGCCTGCATCGGCAGGTGGACTCTCAACCACTGCGCCACCAGGGAAGCCCCTCTAAATTTCGTTTTTTAAGTCCGGTAGCAAATTCTTGCTTTTGGTGGGCTGCTGGGTGTGCCCAAGGTATGTGAAATACAAGATCGCCCACTTCATGGGTTGTTTTACACCAACATGCCCCTCTAGGGTATGTAAACAGTTCTCTACTTAGAAGTTTATTCTTTTGGCCTTACTCATGTTTTCCTTGACTTTTTGTTTTCTAAGTCCTCTCTCACACCTATTAACTGGCCCTGACCCCCTCAACAGAAGCCTCCAGCTAAGGGGTGGAGGGGGGAAGAGGCCACTTTCTGAAGGGTGACTATTACTTAGCAAGCTCGCCCGGGACAGCCTCTGTGATGGATGCCAGCCCAGGGCATGGCACACTGTTGTAGTTGTTTGATGAATGCATGGCACTTGGATGGGTATGAAGTTGAAGACCACCAGGCTGGACTCGCTGAAACGACACACATGGACCGGTAGGAATGGCATAGGGGACAGCTCCAAGTGCCTGGGTCAGGGCCCTAGGCCAGGGGTGCGAACACCAAGCGGCGTCCAGCCCAGGAGCCAGCCACAGAATACAGTGCCACAGTGCTATGTAGACTCTGCCCCATGACTCTCCCCCTGCCTGCCCCCCTTTGGCTAGCATAGGCTGCGTAGGAGAGAACTCAGTGGGAGCACCCCAGAAGGGGAGTAAGGGGAGAAAGAGCAACAGAGAGAGAGCCTGGCCACAGAGACATTAACAGGACTACTGGGTCAATTGGCTGGCACCCGATGGGCACGCGTGCACTTGGTTGGGGAGGGAGGGAATGGACGGCACTTCTAAGCCCAGGGCAGGTAAAAGGGCAGAGCTACACCTGCTGCTATACGATGTAAGGCAGCAGAAGAGCAAGGATTTTCTCAGTTTCTGCTTTTATGGTCCCTCCCTCAGGCCACAGGAAGAAGGAAGGGCCCTATCCTGAGAGGGTTTGCCTAGAACCCAGCAGGATCCAGGTGAGGGAGGGTCCAGGTGAGCTGCTGGCCAGGTGCCTACAGGAACACATTCACTGAGACATTTAATATTCCCCCGGCAACAGCTCCAGGGAGTTTCCCAGGAGTCTCTGGGTAACCAGATAGCCCTGGCCAGCCCCAGGTTGAGGAAATTGATCCCCAGGAGTGGACAGGATGGGAATGGCATTACCGTGCTGCCTGCTAGGCCATGCTGGAGGGCAGGAAGACCCGCCTCCCTCCCCAGATGCTGGGTGCCACCACCAGACAACAGAAATGCAGGGCCCAGGGGCTTTTCTTACAAGGGCTTTCACAACTTCTCTGCAAAGGACAGGAATTCTGGGGCTCAGGAAACCTGTATGTAAAGTCGGCATTGGGGGTCTGTGGACAGTGTCATGAGGCTGGTTGATCACAGTCCCTCAACAAGTGTGGTTACGTGTCTGCTGAGGGCCCACTGATCTAACATCAAACATCATACCCCTGCCTCCCGAGCCCCCCCACTGTGCAGATGCCCAGGCCTTCTACGTCACCCCAGGGCAGCTTTCAGGCCTCTCCCTTCCTATGCCCCTAGTTCTCCCCTGTGGGTGAGGGACCTGGAAAGCTTTTCCCAACTCCAGCCACGCCAGCAAAGCGTGAAGAGCAGACAGTGAGTCAGTGCAGAGCTGTGGGCGAGGGCTCCGGGTACCACAGGCACCCTGGACATCTTTGGATCTCCCTGGCATGGCAAGTGGGATGGTGGGGGGAATGGGTGTGATCACCTATAAACTCCTAGGCCAGGCTGAGCAGAAGGGTGGCTCGGGCTGGTCCAAGGGAGCTATGGAGACTGGCCAGGCAGAGAGCTGGTACCACTGCCCACCTAGGGCATAGGACATTTCTCCATGAGCAGCCCCTGGGGTGGGGTGAGAAAATTAAAGAGCGAGAACATCCACAGGTGAAGTGGGAGGGCTGACCTCCTGGCCAGTAGTGGGAGTGGAGGGGACCCACACTGTCTACTGGCAACAGTGGCAGGCGGGGGTGGTGTGGAGGAATGACGCATGTGGGCTCCGTAACCCTTCCCTGCTCTGCTCTCTGTCAGAGGGAACCGCATCTCTCAAGCCCCCCTACCTCTGGCTTCCAGGTAGGTTTGGCCATTGCAAGGCACCTGAGAAGGACAGATCAGGAGAGTGGTGGGTGTTCATAACCCGCTTTCTGCTCACTGTGGCGCTTCTGCCAGCAGTCGCATCCCCACTCAGCCTCCCGCTCCCACCTGTGAGCGCCCTCTCTCTGTGACACCCTGCTGTGCAGCCCCAGCCCCTGGAATCCCACCCTCCTCCTGCTGTCCTCCCCCAAGAGGTAGGCGTGGCCTGGGGGGTCCCCTCCACCTCTCTGATACTCACTCAACTCACGCCAGGCCTGCAAGCCTGGGTGAGCTCCCAGGTCTCTACCAGCTTTGTGGGTTTTTTTTTTTTTCTTTTTTTTCAATCTTTCAATTTCATTAAAAAGTTTATGATCAAAAACCAACAAACAAAAGATGCCTCGTGATCTGATCTCCCCCCTGATTGCTATATCCTGGTGTATCCTCTTAGCTTCTGCATCTGTGACATGGGGGGACCAGCCTTGGTTCTGGATGGGATGGTTGTGAAGGTGTGATGGGTTATGTGGGCGGACACGAAGGGAGGGCGCCCCGTGGAAAGGCTGAGGGGGGGGGGTCTTGGGGGCAGCAGAGGCTGGTCTTGATGAGCTCAGGGAAGAAAGAGAGCCTGGCCAGAGGGGAGGACAAAGTGCAAGGGCCGGAGACTGGCAATCTCTTCTGAAATATACACATACACACATATTCACGTGGACACACACTCTCATACTCTCACACACACACACACACACTCACTCGCCCACACATTCACACGTGCGTGCCGCCATCATCAGGGACCTGTGTCAGAGGGAGCTGAGGCACCGAGCGATCGGGCATGTACACCCCCATCTCCACTACTTAAAGGTGGGGACAGACCCTGTGACTGTGAGTCGCCATAACTGAGACACTCTCTCCTTTGTGCTTCACTGGACGCAGAGCAGCCACCAGCCCCAAGAACAGCTCCAGGCTGGGTCTACGCCGGACATAGGAGCAGGCAGCCGGTAGACCGTGAAGGGGTGCTGAGGATGGAGGAACGTTGGGAGGCTGGGCACAGCTAATATCCTGAGCTCCCCGTGCCCTTGACTTCTCTGTGGGCTTGAGAAGGGCCACCCCACATCAGGATGAACTCGCCTTTGGGGACAAGAGCCCCACCGGACCCGGCCCAGGAATCCAACGGCATAGCCACCCCAGCTTCCCGCAGCAGGTGGGACAGCTCCTGGAGCAGCACCTCCAGCCTGGACCACCCTCCGCCCGTCAGCCCCACGGTAAGCCTGGGACGAGCGTGTGCACGCAGAGCCTCCCTCCTGCTCCCTGGTGCTCTTCCTAGGGGCACACGGGGGCTTTGACAAGGTTCCACAGCTCTGCTGTGGGACCTTGGGCATGTTACTGAACTTCTCTGAGCCTGTCCTATGCAAAGACACCAATAGAGGGGAGTGTGGCAAGTTTTCCTTCCTCGTGGAGAGCATCCAAGGAACAAAAAGGCCAGCCCTGTGGGACAAAGGGCTGGAATGGCACGTCCATTTCTTTCTGAGGGTAGTAGGATGCCCCCCAGAGCCTTCCAGAGAGGAAGGCCTGCCCTGGGCCTCTGGGTTTGTCCCAGCCCAGAGCGAGGTATTTGGTGCCTGCTGCTGCTTCCATCATCCTAGCCAGGGCCCAGGGCCATACCCCAGCAACCCCACCATTAACTGGGGAGGGATGAGGGCACCCTCAAGACCATGGGATGCTGGCCTAGGTTCTGGACAGGATGGGAAGGCTCCAGTAGCTATAGGAGCCAGGACAGGACAGAAATTAAACCACTCCCTTCCCTGGCAAGGAGCTGGGGTGGGAGTAGTCTTTAAAGCCTTTTGTACTGGCCTCATAGGATCATGACCTCCCTACAGTGACCTAGGAGGCCTGAATTTTCTTTTTAAAAGACAATTCTTTTTCTCGCTCTCACACCAGGTGTCAAAGTCAGCCCTACCCAGTTATATAGTGGGAGAGTACAGCCTCCTTCTTTGAGGCTGGGAAGGGTGTGGGACTCCTGAGAAGAGGGGCTCCACCCCATTCTACCTCCCCAGAGTGAAAGGGGACTGGAATACCATTGCTGACTGTCTCGGGCACTTGGGATGGGGCCCATACAGAGGGGAGGAACGCACCCAGGAGATGGCTCTGCCTTCTCCCCAAGGAAAGATAAAGTCACTCCAGCCATGTCCCTGCTTGCCAAACATGTGTCTGTCTGTCCTACCAGCCTCCAAAGGTGATCTGAGCTCACTTCTAGAAGACTTTTGCGTCTAGGCCATGGTATAGGAACTTGGGCTCAACTAGGAGACCTGTGTTTCCATTCCAGCTCAGCCACTTGCTAGCTGTGTGGACAAACGGCTTTGCCACTCTGAGCCTGCCCGCCTGCAGCGTTTTTTACCTGCCCCATTGGGAACACTAACTCTTCTTCTCCGGACTATTTGAAGGTGATGGAGTCATGTGATGCCCTTGTTTCTCTGTCTCTTCACAGGCAGCCAGGGCTCAGGCTGCTGCCTGGGTCCCCTTTCCCACGGTCGATGTTCCAGACTACGCCCACTACACCCTGGGCACGGTGATCCTGCTGGTGGGGCTCACAGGGATGCTGGGAAATCTGACGGTCATCTATACCTTCTGCAGGTGCCTGGTTGGCAGGATGGGGGCCTGGGCACTGAGGGCAGCCAGCCATGCAGAGACAGGGCAGAACACAGGGTGGAAATTCTGGTGCCAGCTCTGCCAGGGCACTGTTGAGTCTGCGTGGGGAGGCCAGGGCCAATGGTCTCAGGGTCAGGCCTCCATCTTCAAACCCAGGAAAGGGGCCCAAATGTAATCCAGGGCAGCTTGAATGGCACGCTTAATTGGGCCCCAGGCACACCGTCTGTGTAGGGTATGTGTCCCTATGACACACACGTCTCTGCCTATTCTGCCCTGCTCTCGGCTCACCTCCAACACCTGTCCCAGTGGGCACCTTCCCTCTGCCTCAAAGAGCAGCCCTGGTACCAGGGTCCTGAGTCCTCAAGCCCTTCAGCAACCAGCCCTGGCCACCACCCTTGGCTTCCTTCCCTACCTGCCCCACTCACCGCCTGAATGGCTGAGACAGGCACGTGGAGAAGTAAACTCCTGGCTCTACCACCTATTAGCTGAAACGACCTGAGCAGGTTACTTATCTTCTTTGAGTCCACTTTTCTTGTCTGCAAAACGAAGCTGTGATTTACTTCATGGGGTCAACGTGATGATTAAGTGAGTTTTTATATGTGCGGTGCCCAGCAAATGAGTGAATCCTGGCTGTGTCACTTACTGAGTCTTGTGACCGCAAGCCACTCCACAGGTGGAGCCTCAGGGTTCTTATCTGCAAAATGAAATGGGGTGAATGCGTAGATGTGAAGATGGATGATTATGGGAGATGAGCTTTGTGAAAGCACCTGGCCTGTGGGCACCATCGTCAACTCCTCTCCCCTTTGCCAGCCCCGAAGGTGAGGACTGCAGGAACACTGGCAGAAGGGGAACAGGAGTGGCATGAGTTGCTGCCTTGAGGGGTTTCACTTCTTAGCCCACAATGCCAGGCTCCAGAGCTGTTTGGCTGGTACTTGCCGGGCAGCGGGATGGGCCTGTGGGCCAGCAGCTCGTGCCTGTGTGCAAGCATACATGTGTTTGAGGGAAGCTCCCCAGCAGAAGCGCCTCCTGACAGTTTCTGACCCCTCACAGGAGCAGAGGGCTCAGGACTCCCGCCAACATGTTCATCATCAACCTCGCGGTCAGCGACTTCCTCATGTCCTTCACGCAGGCCCCCGTCTTCTTCGCCAGCAGCGTCTATAAGCAGTGGCTCTTTGGAGAGACAGGTAGACACTTGGGACTCCCTTTTGCTGGAGGGAGGAGGAGGGTTGGGACGGGGGATGTCCACAGTGGAGGGTGGCCCAGATGAGAACGCGATGTGCTCTTCATGGGCAAAGAATGGGTAGTCACCGTCAGTCTCATGAGTTAGCAGGAGGTTTCCGTGAGCCTCTGTCAGATGCATGTAGGCAGGGTGGAGAGGAACTAGGCCTGCTTTCCTTGAGAGGCGGGCGTATGAGCTGAGTACACGCAATCCACAGACCCTCCTTCCCCTGGGGTATCTGATGGGCTCCCTGCCAAGGACTGAGGTCAGGCAGCTGTGCCCACAGGCTGTGAATTCTATGCCTTCTGTGGGGCTGTCTTTGGCATCACCTCCATGATTACCCTGACGGCCATCGCCCTGGACCGCTACCTGGTGATCACACGCCCACTGGCCACCGTCGGGATGGTGTCCAAGAGGCGGGCGACGCTTGTCCTGCTGGGCGTCTGGCTCTATGCCCTGGCTTGGAGTCTGCCGCCCTTCTTTGGCTGGAGTAAGTGGGCTCAGGGAATCAGGGGAAGGGAAGATAGGCTGGGAGGGGTAGGTTCAAGGGGCAGGTAGGTGGACTTGGGTTGACCAGCTGGCAGGAGGGGCCGAGGGACTGCTTAAGTCTCAGAGCAAATGGACATTCAGGGGGCATGGCTAGCAGCAGGGGGAACTGAGGCTGTACCATCAACAATCAGAGGATAACCTGGGCTCCCATCCGCAAATACAGACGGGCAGACCACGTGGTTCCTGGCTGGCGGGAAGTGACAGGTGCATCTGATGCCGAGTTTGCAATGAGTCAGACAGGCAGGAGTTGGGGTGTGAGGCCTCAGCACGTAGGAGGGTCAGCAGCAAGGCACCCGCCCTTCTGAGGCAGGACCAGGAAGCTGGCTGAAGTCTTGGGGGAGTAAGACCCTGCGGCTATGGTGAGGTCTCTCTTCCAAACCGGCAAGATTGGGTGGCAGTGGACTTTGCCAGCTGTCTCCTGCTAGAACCAGCTTGGAAAGCTCCCCTCCACGTGCCCCGGCTTCCTCACTCCACTGGGCAGGGCTGGGGCCGGGGCCAGTGTTTGAGAAGCTCAGACCCCACATCCAAAGCCCCTGCTGGATGAGGAGCCTAAGTCAGCGCCGCCCTGCAGGCTGAGCACCCGCCCCTGGTTCCCAGGTGCCTATGTGCCCGAGGGGCTGCTGACCTCTTGCTCCTGGGACTACGTGAGCTTCACGCCATCGGTCCGCGCCTACACCATGCTGCTCTTCTGCTTTGTGTTCTTCCTCCCCCTGCTCGTCGTCATCTACTGCTACATCTTCATCTTCAAGGCCATCCGGGAGACGGGCCAGTAAGAGCTAGGCGTGAAGGAGGGGCTCGTGGGAGGGGGGCTGTGCCCCTTGGCCAGGGCTGCCCGTGACTCACATCCATACCCACAGCCCAGGGCACTCCCAGCTCCAGATGGGCAAAGACCAGCTCAGTACGTGTGCTTATGGGATGGGGTGCCGAAAGGCCAGTACAACCGGGGTGCTTAGAAAAGTCGTCTTCTGAAGCGCGGGCCTTCAGCCTTGGTCAGGGGGCGCGGGGGGAGAGAAGGCACGGCAGGGCTGCCTGCACTGGAAGGGACGGCCGGGTCCAGGAAGGCTCCCTGACAGCAGCCATGACCCTGGCACTCACTGCAACCCGAGTGGGGTCAGACCCAGACTCTGCATGCTTCCTAGAGCTCTCCAGACTTTCGGGGCCAGCGAGGGTGGTGGTGAGTGCCCCTGGCAACGGCAGCGTCTGCAGAACGAGTGGAAAATGGCCAAGATCGAGCTGTTGGTCATCCTTCTCTTCGTGCTCTCCTGGGCCCCCTACTCCACTGTGGCCCTGATGGGCTTTGCTGGGTGAGGGGCTGGGGCAGGGGCTGGAAGGGTGGGAGAAGGGTAAGGGGACCCTGGGGCAGCCTCTCCCTCCCCAGCCCAAGCCAGCCGTCCTCACACCCTAGGTCCAGCCTCACAGGCTTATTCTCCCCCTGCTATGAGATGCCCCACGGGAGCCAGGCCTGTCTCATTCCCGGAGGCACTAGGAGACATGCTGGGGGAGTTCTGGGCCACACTGGGTTTGGTTTGAGGGCCTGCAAGGGCTGCCAGGTCCTGCCAGATCCCTTGGGAATATGCAACTTTGCCTGAGGTTCTGGTTTCCTCTTCACCCAGACTGTGGGCACACAGCCAGGGTGCTACTCACCTCCCGCCCTCTAGTCCTTTGTGGCTAGGGTCTGCGGACTTTGCTACCTGCAGCAGCGTGGAGGCAGGCCAGACTTCAGGAGCGCTTTGAGACAGTGAGAACTATGAGTCCTTGCAGGTGCTTGGGTATGAGACCCTCTCATTGTGCAAGAACGGCCTGGTCCCCTCTGGGGCCCTCCTGTGCCATTACTCTCAAGGAGCCAGGGGCGCAGCAGGCAGCAGAGTTCGGCGGGGCATGGGGAGAGCTGGGCAGAGGGCCAGAGTCTCTGGGGGTGGGGAGGGTTTACTGCCAGCAGGACAGGCTCCAAGGGACAGTGGGACCTGGCGAAACCCCCAACCTGGCACATCTTCTCAGCACCCCTCCCTCAACTGCTCCCTGGGTTCCCACTCCCCTCAGATCAGGATTCTCCCTCGCATTGCAGTCCCTCCCCCGGGGATGACTTGGTCCTGCTGGTTTGGACCAGGCTGGGCTGTGCCCTGGCAGGGCTTGGTTGGCCTATGAAGAAGGTTCCTGAGAGGGCTGGTGGGTTGTGGAGTCCCCAGGGAGGGCCAGCTGGCAGAGGGACCACAGCTTCTCTGTCCTAGGTACGCACATGTCCTGACGCCCTACGTGAACTCGGTGCCAGCTGTCATCGCCAAAGCCTCTGCCATCTACAACCCCATCATTTATGCCATCACCCACCCCAAGTACAGGTGTGGCCCTCTGCCAGAACCCAGCCCCAGATCCCCAGTCCCACCCTCATGGGCATAGAGGGCCTGGGCCTATAAATGGGAGCAGAGGCCAGCCATCTTTCCTGTCCCTTGTGTACATGCATTGGGTGGGGAACTCTAGCAGCTGGGAACTGGACGGGATCTGGAGCGGGTGTGACCCTCTCTGCTGTCCCAGCTTCCTAGGAGGCTCAGCTTGGAGGGACATCAGAGTTCCCTGGGCAGTGTCCAATACTAACTGGGATTTTCAGAGCTGAGGCCAAAAGGCAGCCAGGATGGCTGATCAGCAGTGCTGCAAAGAGAGGCCCCCAGACAGAGGCAGCCTGGAGGGATCACAGCAGGGAGAGCTCCATTGCACTTCAGGGGCCCTGGCAGAGGCCTGGGGTGCTGGCCCAGAGTGCTCTCTGCTGATAGAATCCCAGCACAGCTGGCCTCTTCCACGAGGGGGCCTTCAGTGCTTCCTTTTGCCTGGTGGTGTCAGTAACTCAGCACTCCGCTGAGGCCAGCTGTAGGCCTTAGCCCATCCAGCTCAGAGGCGGCTCAGGAGGGTTCTTGGTCCCCATTTGCAGAAATGTGGCTTAGGTCAGCCACTCGAGAACTGAAAGCAAGCATCTGGCTGAACCTGCCACCCTAAGGCTCTCCCTCCATGCCCACAGACCCAGTGTCTGTCTGCCTATCCTCATAACCCCAATGTCTTTACATCCCCAATTCCCCAGAGGCTCTTTGTCCACTCCTATTAGCCCAGTATCAGTCTATCCATCCACCCCCATCTCCTCAAGTCTGTCTGTCTGTCCATCCCCCTAACCTGCTGTCCTTGCAGAATGGCCATCGCCCAGCACCTGCCCTGCCTCGGGGTGCTGCTGGGCGTGTCAGGCCAGCGCACTGGCCTGTACACCAGCTACCGCTTCACCCACCGCTCCACACTGAGCAGCCAGGCCTCGGACCTCAGCTGGATCACTGGACGGAGGCGCCAGGTGTCCCTGGGCTCTGAAAGCGAGGTGGTAAGGAGGCTGGGCTCTCACTGACTGGCACCTCGCCATCCTTTCCTCTGGGCGGGGCTGCCTCGGAGACTCAGGGAGACTCAGGGACCCTCAGGGACCTAGGACGCTGGCAGGAAGAGCCCCTCACCACCCACACCCCCACAGCCCTCCCACACACCATCGTCCCTGCCAGACAGGGGCACTGGGGTCAGAGAGGCAACATGTTGGCCCAAGGTCACCCAGCAGCAGGGCCTGGACGAAACATGGGTCTTCCAACTCCAGGTCGCCTCTTTTCCATGCCAGCACTATCCCAGGGCCTTAGAGCCTCAGATTGAAAAGACTAGCATTTCCGACGCTAGATGGGCCTCTAGAGAGACAGGCAGGAGCTAGCTCAGGACCCTTCATCCTCAGTATTAAGCGCCCTCCTCCTGGAGCTCACAGGATACAGTGGAAGGAGCACTGGCTCTGGAGGTGGGGGACCTATGTTCAAGCCTGAGTTCAAGTCCTTACTGTGTGAGTTTGTGCAGGTCACTCACCCTCTCTGAGCCTCTTTGTCCTCCTCTGAAAGGGAAAATCATCATGTCCACATCTAAGACTAGATAGGGTGCCCATGGAGGCTGACCCCCACCGCTGTGGTCAGCCATGGGAGCTACCAGTCTGCCAGCCCCTACTTGGGGCCTGGAGCTCTGATGCCCCCTGATGTCACCAGGAGAGTTCCCTATGACCTGAGCCCCTGTCCCCAGCTCCTCCTTCATTGTGCCTACAGGGCCCACTCTGGGCCTCACCAAGTGCTTCCACTTACCTCCTCCCACTGCCCCCATCCCTGAGGGTCTCAGTTGAGGGGCTGAGGGAGGAGCTGCCAGAGGACCCATCCCTGAACTAATGTAGTAAACATCAAGGAGTGAATCTTATCCATTAAGAGGGCCTAGATCCTCATGAAGACATACCCATCCTACATGCTTAAGAAAGCACACCAGCGCACACACACACACACACACACACACACACACACACACACATCCCAGCAGACGCACGCACAGTTTGCAAGGGTTTGGTGACCAGCAACCCTGTAAACAGTATTGTGGGCTTCACCCCAGTGAAAAAGTGTAGAGAGGATGGAGAAAGGCCTGGTCAGGGAGGGGGCAGAAGCAGGGATGCAGAAATGTCCCCCTCACCTCACAGGGACTCTCCCACTCCCCCAGGGCTGGACAGACACGGAGGTAACAGCTGCTTGGGGGACTGCCCAGCAAGTGAGTGGATGGTCCCCCTGCAGTCAGGGCCCAGAGGATGTGGAAGCCAAGGCCCCTCCCAAGTCCCAGGGACAGGAAGCAGAGGCTTCCGGAAAGGTAACTGGGCCCGGCACCTGCCAATCTATAAAAGGGCGGGGATAAGGAGCAAGTAGCCCAGGGAGCGGCCCTGAAAAGGGAGCAGGCCCAATGCCCTCTGGGAATCACCCCCTCCCTGCACCTCCCAGCTTTCCCTTGCTCACCTGGGGGTCCTGGGTGTCTCCATGACTCCAAGGTGTTCTAAGCAAGCCTGAGTGTGACTGTGCCTGAGAGTGTCTGTGTGTGTTTGTGTGACCTTGACTGTGCATGTACATAGCAGGTGGTGGTGGCTCTACCGCACTGCGATGAATGTACGTCATGTATGTAAATGTGTGTGACCATGTGCCTGGCACACACATTCTGTCCCTGTGGCACCGTGGGGCATGGGATTGAGTGTGCCCTAATGTGTCTGCTCTAAGCTGTGCATGTGACCAAGTGTGGGTGGCACGTACCTCTCTGTGTTTGGAAACTGGGTGTACCTGGGGGCGTGGGGCTGCAATCGGTGTATGTGCTCACTGCGAATGCCCTGAGATTAGGGTATCGCCCAGAATACTTGTGGCTATTAAAAGAAGGCCAGCTGTCAGCCCAAGTGCCTATGGAACGGAATGTTGATGGTGATTAGAGAAGGCCATATTCTGGAACGCTGGAAACGCCGTGCGCACAGGTCCTGAGGCTGCCCTGCCCCTCTGCTGACAGCTCCCCACCCTGCCCCTCCACTCACACCCACACCACACCCCCAGCTCCTGCCTTCCTTCCCCCGGGCTGCTCCCCTGCCTGTCCCAGAGAGGGGGCGCCCTGGGCTGCTCCCTGCAGTTATGGGCCCCCTGCCTCTTCCAGCGTTCCCACCCCAGGGAGCACCACTCCCCAGGTGCCCCAGCCCTGAGCCCGGGAACTGCTCATGACCACAGAGGCCAGGGCAGAGGCCGGCAGCGTCCCCCAGGCTGGCCGGGCAATGATGAAAGGCACTGTGCCTCTCCTGGAGAGAATACCGGGCTGGGGTGGGGCGCTGGGCAGAGAGGCACAGCACATCAGCCGTCACCTAACGCGTGTGATAAGCACTGCCAACGAGGTATCAGCATACAGGGTGCTGAGAGCAGAGGCAAGTCCCCAAGGGCTCCCGGGAAATGTGGAGGTAAAGCAGGGATTGCCAGGCAGGATGGGACCGAGGAGCGGGGATTGGGCGGTTCAGGCTGAGGAAACAGCCTGTACAAACATAGCAGGGTGTCCTGGACAGAATGTTTCTCTGTGACCCCAGGGGCAGCCAAGGGGCTCTGGGAGCTGGCGGTGGGGATGGAGGAGGGAAGGGGGCAGGAGGTGGTAGGAGCCATGGGGAGGCCCACTAGGTGCTGTCATGAGGGGTCTCCAGTCACAAGCCTGGGGGACAGGGAGCCCTTGGAGGGCTTCACGGGGCACTGAGGGGCTTGGTCAACTTAGCAGATTAGCCGGGCCTCCCCGCAGTGGCTGCGGAAGGACAGGTTGAGTGGAATGGGCCGGCAGAGAGAAGATGGGAGGAAGTCGGTAGGACAGGCAAGGAATGAGGCATTTAAGACCGCAGGGAGAGAGGAGACGCCGGAGCATGTGGAAGAGGACTGCAGGGAAGGGGGGAATCGGATTGTGGGGGTGAGGAGAGCTCAGTCCCGACCCCAGGAGTCCGAGAGCCTGGGGACATCCCAGAGGGACGGCCTGAAGGTGGCCTCGGACATCGCCTGGAGAAGGCCCAGCCCCCAGCCAGGACGAAACCTGGCCACACAACGCCCCTCTGTCACGCGGTGCCCCTAAACACAGAGGGTCCCTGGGAGACTACTCCCAGTGGGATACTCCTTGAGCTAAACAAATGTCTGCTGTTTGCTTTCAGACCAAAGGGCTGCTCCCCAGCCTGGACCCCAGGATGTAGGGTGCCCATCAGTTTGTCTTTCTGGGACATGCCCATGTCTCCTGGGACATGTCCAACCCCTTCACCTCCCCCTCACACACACACAGACCCAGGATTACCCTGTGGGCCTGCGGGCTTTGGAAGTGGCCCTGTCACCCAAGCTGTGCTGGATTCGCGGCCCTGTACTGCAAAACTCCTGCTCTGCAAAGTGGTCTGCACCCACTTCTCAGCTCAAGAGCCTGTGCCCCAGGCTCAGCCTGAAGAGTGGGCACCCAGGCCCTCTCGCGGCCCGGAACACAGACCTTCACTCGCTGGAACCCGTTACTCACCTCTGGCTTTCCCCCCAGAGTGCTATTTCCACCATGGACCACCCTCTTCTGCACATGTGCATTTTCGGGCACACTCTCCTGTGTGTACATATTTGCATGCGCACCAGGTGCACGAGTGCACTCACTGCACCTATGGATTGTTTCAAATCAGTGTCTAATTCACCCCAGGGTGTGTGGCTCTGGCAGGATGTAGAAAATAAAAAGCGGAGAAGGTCTCCGACAAGCACAGTCTCTACCTATTGGTGCCACCGTGGGAGAGAGACCCAAGGCCTGGCCTCTGATGCCGACAGCAGCCTCTCTTTCTCCTCTCCCTCTGTCCCCCACCTCATGACTTTCACTCCTAAAATCCCATCTCAAACTGCAGGGAGCAGAGTGGAGGAGGGGCAAAGACCAGGCTTGCCCCCATCCCTGCTCCCCGATGAGCTGCTGTTACTGGGAAGCAGCTCACGCCCGGCTTGTGAGTACCAGCTGCTCTCTGGCTGGCTTTGGATCTCCCAGGGGAGGCAGATGGAGGGAGGCTGGCCTTCCCCTTTAAGAGCATCCTTCTTGCTACCCCTTCCTTTCGCCGGAGGCAGCATCAGGCATCAGGCATCAGGCGGGTGCTTGAGTCCAGAGAAAGAGCCTGCAGCTCCAGGTACACCCTAGCCCAGGGTTCCCCATCCCTGTGCAGGATCAGCTCCTTCCTTTCCCCACACTGGTCATGCACTGCTGCTGGATCCTCACCAGCCTGGCAGGACAAACACCCTCCTCCCCTGGAGAGGAGATAAAGCTGGAGTCAGGGATGGATGGGGTGGGGCCTGGGGGAGGGGCAGGGGATGGGATGGGGGAGGTCAGGGTGCTGGCCATGAGCTGCTGGCCTCCCGGGCCAGGCCTAGGAAGGCAGGACAGCTGGGCTGCATGACACAGGGCAGAGGAGGTGGTGAAGTGGGGGAAAGAACACAGGTCCCTCCCTGGCTTTTCCACTTGATATTTCTGTGACCTTGGGCAAGTTACCAAACACCCCTGTGAAGTGGGGACTCCTTCTTGTCATGCATGTTGTATGTGCTAGGCCCAGAGTTTAAGGTGGGATGTTGGCAGCTGGGAAATTTCTCACACCCAGGCCAGTACTGAATCCTCAGGGCCCAGCTCAGGCCAGAGCCCTCCAGGAGGGCAGAGAACAGAGGGCCCAGTTGCCTTCCCTGAGCCTCAGTTTCCTGAGCAGTGTGGGCCTTGATCTACCCCCAGACCACACAGAGCCTGAGGTCTCTTCTGAGAAAGGGCTTCTGGAGGTATCTTGGCTCAAAGACCACAGTGGCAGGAGTCCCGAGGGGCCTAGGCCCCCATCCAGAACATACTGTCTCTGGGTTATGGACTGACCACAACACACACATTTTCCCCTCCCGGCCCCTTCTGGCCCCTTGTCCCAGCAGCTGAGCAAATGGCCTCTCCTCCTCTCCTCCCTGCCCCCTGCCATTCCGGTGCAAAGGGCACGGGGGCCTGGCATGCAACGCTGGCAGCTGGAGCTTTCCATGCTGCTGTCAAGTTTTCAGAGCACAAATGAGACAGGAGAGCCAAGAATAACTGCTGGGCCCCAGAGGGTCTGGAGGGTGGGGGCCTGCCCCAGACCTGCTTTCAGACCCTGCGCTGAGGGTGCAAGCAGGGGGCCCCCACTGCCAGCTTTGGGTATCAGGAGGTGCCTGCCACCACCGGCAGCCCGTTATCTGGCACGAGTCCCCATAGGAATGAGCTCAGACTCCAGTATGGCTTGGGTCTACTACCTGTGTGACCTTGGGGAAGTTACTTAACCTCTCTGAGCGGGACAAGTGGCAGCCTCTCAGGATCTGAGGAGATAATGGCGTGGAGGGTCCAGAGCTGAGCTTGGCCATGCCCAGAGCTGCTGCTATTATGATGATTGTTTTTATGGTTGGACAACTCTGGGCCCTGAAGTTGTCCCTTATCTTGGGCCACCATGAGGATAAGAGGCAACTTCAGTGTCCTCACCAGAGAACACAGGGCAGCAAAGACCCAAGTCACAAAGCCCCTGGCCAAGGGAGCTCAGCCGCGGTTTTCTGGGCAAGGGGGTGGGTACAGCCAGGCAGAGAGGGCAGCTGGGCAGTCTGGGCTCTCCAGAGGGTGGAGGGAGCAAGGAGAGGAGAGCAGGGGGGCAGAGCATTATCACTACCCTGGCCAGGCCCCTCTCCTGCCCCCTGGGGGGTGCTGGGTGCCGGACACCCCTCCCCAGGGGCTATATTAGCCTTGTGAGTCACAGTGGACCCGCTGGGAGGCCGAGGGCGGGCGGGCACAGTGTAGGGTTACAGTCCATTTATGGGAGCAGCAGAGGGCAGATATCAGTGTCGATGGCATTCGTTCCCAGCTATTCTTAGGAGCCTCTCAGGAGCTGCACACAGCCCGGCCAGGCAGAAAGGGACGGAGCAGGCAAGGCCGGGGGGTCGGGGGCAGGGGCCGAGGTACGGGCTGGGGAGGCAGGGTGCGTGAGGGTCCTCTCACTCTACTCTTCTCCCTTCATCCGCAGAGGCCGCCGCTGTCAGCACCAGCATGTCTTACAGCGTGACCCTGACCGGGCCTGGGCCCTGGGGTTTCCGTCTGCAGGGGGGCAAGGACTTCAACATGCCACTCACCATATCCCGGGTGAGTGTGCACGGCCCACGGCCTAGAACCCACAGGGGCGGGGCACGCTCAAAGGAGGGTGTGTGCGTCCATCCCTCCATCTGTCTGTCCTCCCTGAGGCTCTTGGAAAGCAGAGCACACTTTCCTGGTCTGGGGGTGGGACTGGACCCAACTGGATACTGCCGGCCGCAGGCCCCTGGTCTTGGCCACAGCTGTTGCCCACCCTCGTCGGCTGGCCTATTATGAGTATGAAACATGGGCAAGCGGCTGGTGTTTTGAGCAGAGAAAGAGATGCCAAGTTTGCAGGCCAGGCAGGCAGGTGGACAGAAAGTACAGGGCCTTCCTAAGCCTTTCTCCGGGAGGGTGGGCTCAGGGTACCCCCCAAGCCTGGAGGTGGGCAGCGGCTCAGGGGCAAGAGCGCTCCTAGCATGGAGGCCAGGCGACAGGCGGGTAGATGCTTAGATGTGCAGACTGCTGACCTCGGCTGCCCTGCTATCAGGGCTCGGAGCTGGGCTGCGCTGGTAACCGGTCTCCTGCATCCACTCCATCCCAGACCTGAGATAACAGTCGCCTTCTACCCCCGCCTTCCTGGGGCTGCTGTGGGACCTCACACTGGCTGGCTTCGTGGAGCTGGGCCTTCCTCGCTTGCTGGAGGCCCTAGCCATTCACCTACAGCTGCTCTGCCTGCCTGTCTCAAGTCTGGTTCGCCATGCTCACCTGGGGAAATGGCCTGTGTGTTCTGCAGTGTCTGTGATCAGGGAATGGCACTGCCTGATGTGAAGGTCACAGATCTTTGGAGATTGTCTGAGTGACTCTGTTGCCCAGCTGGAGACACTGAAGTACAGAGAAGCAAGAAGCTAGATCTGCTTGAGAGGAAGCGGTCTGTGAGAAGGGACTTTGTTTTAAACACTGCTGTGTCCCTGGCACCTAGACCAGTACCTAGGACATAGTAGGTGCTCAGGCAACACTTATCAAGTAAAGGGAAGTCCAGCAGAGGGGCGCTGAAGGCCCCAAGGCTCAGGGTGGACTGTGAAATGTGCCAGGGCAATCACAACCCCTGCCTGGTGGGGTATGCTGAGACTGAGCCCCAGCAGTGCTGGTGTGGGCACAAGGGGGCAGGCTGAGGCCCCAGGCTGTCACTGGAGGGTGATGGATGGGCAGGGGTGTCTGGGTCACTGCTCACCTGGAGACAGGGAGACAGTTTCTTTTCCAGGGCATGGAGACTTGTCTTGGGCCTGAGGGTGGGATGGGGAGGGTGGTGGGGAGGCACTGAGGTAGGCAGCCAGGGAAGGCCTGAAAGGTGCTTGGCAGAGGGGGCAGGGAGCCAATGTCCCCACTGGAGGCACAGTCCTGGCTATGCAACAAAATGTGGACACCTGGGGGGACCCTAAGATGGAAAGCTCCACTCAGGGGTGTTATGGGAGCCTCACGACAGCAATAGCCTCACAACAGCCTCACAACTCCTCTGGGGTGCTGGCCTGGCTCTAGTCCAGGAAGAAGGCCTTGGCCGCCATCCTGAGGGAGGTCTGGCTTATTCCAACCTGAGTCTCCAGACCCACTGCCCTGGAAACCCCAGGGTCCCATATTAGAAGGGCACCCATAGACTTACACACTCAGTCTGATGATATGGTGACACAGGGGCATTTGAGCCCCAGCAGACACACCCCCTCTGCCCCCAGGACCCTGCACAGCTCCCCACACCCCTGGTTACAGGTCTCCTCCCTGTACAAGGCAGGATCCTCCACCGTCACTCTCATGGGTCCACCAGCTTCCCACGCCTGGGACTGAGCCTAGATCTCCCCCAGCCCCACTATCCTCAAGGCCTCCACCTGGTGGAAATTAGCCTCCTGGCTCAGTGGCACCCAGGATAGCCGATGACCTCATCCGGGGTCTATGCGCCACCTGGCCCCAGCCAGCCCAGGGCTTAAATTGCAGCACAGAGGCCTTAAGCTAGACAGACAGCAGCAAGAATGTCCTCACTGTAGGCAGGGGGTGTACTGGGATGTACTAGAGCCAATGGCTAGGGGGGGCTTTTAAAAATAGAACCCGCAGCTCAGGCAGGGCATCAGGGGATGGGTCTCTCAATTCCCTTCAGAGGCGTGCCCCCAAATCACTGAGGCCATGGAACCAGCTGGACTGGGTGCTGGGGCCTTCCCAGGGCTTGGAGCTTCTTGATAAGTCCTCTGGTGTGCTGCTGATACCCTGGGCTCCGGCGTCCCAGGCTCAGCGTTGCTGGCCAGGCAGGCCTCGGGGCACTAGCCCTGCCCTCCCAACAGGGCTGTGGTATTTCCTGCTGGGGCGCTCCAGGTCCTTCTGCACCAGGAACTTCTCCCCTAAGGGGATGCAAGGCCAGAGCTCTCTGGAAGAATCCTATTTCCACTGCAGCCCTGACCTGCTTCCCACAGAGGGGCAGTAGATGTCCTGGCCTGAGTCTTTGCGACAGGGCAGTAGTGACGTATTGTGGTGGGGGGACTCGCAAAGGCGGGGCCGGCTCGTTCTCAGCAGGGGCCGGCACCCCTGGGCACACGCACTGTAACCCTGAGGCAGGTGGTCAGGCAGGCAGGTCTGGGATTGGCATCTCACTTCAGAGCCGGGCAAACTGAGGCTCCAACTTGCTCATGCGCTCCTGTGACCTTGGTAACCCCATGCCTGCTTCCTCACCCTCTGGCTAGGGGCTAGTAGAAAAGCACTGCGTGGGGCCGTCCCCTGTATGCCGCAGCTCCTCCTGTAAGAAGGCTGGCCACGTGCAGCCTGGGTGGTAGCTCCTGTACCCACCCCACCCTGCCCACCAGCCCCACAGAATCAACCTTGGGGCAGTAACAGCCCCTCAAGTCCTCCCTTCGGTGGGTCTCAGCCTGAGGACCCACAGAGAAATGGGCTCAGGAGGGAGACTCGGAGGGTGGAGGGGAAATGCCTTTATTTATCTTGGACAGGTGTGGCTGGGCCTGCAACATGAGCCGCCCTCCCACCCCCACCCTCCCCCAATCCCAGCCAGTCCTCCAGGAAGTGGGGAAGGGGTGGGAGCAGCCAAGAGGGAACAGTTCCAAAGGCCCAGCCCCCACCCCTGGCGGGGCAGCTAGGCCTGAGGCCAGGGCCACTGTCTGGGGCCTTGCCTCTTGGCGCACGAGTTGCAGCCCTTGATTTTATGGCAGCGACGTATGCTTTTGTTTGGCTCTGGTACTCACAGCTGTGTCACCTTAGAAAAGTCAGTTCACCTGCTCAGCCTCAGTTTTCTCATCTGTAAAATGGGGATGGTACGTCGGTAAAAGTACACGTGAGAGTTCTTTCTAATGTGCACTTATGAATATACACCTATTTTTCCACATGGTCTGCTTGTGAGGATGGGGGAGTGGTGGAACTGAGCCTGGGCCCAGGGGGGTCCTGCCTTTCTGTTCCAAGGCCTCCACTCCTTACGGCCTTACCCACAGGCCCAGCAGGCTCACCTCTGCCCCTTTGCTGTTCTCGGTTCCAGTATTTGTCAGACTCTCCTGGCTATGGTGGCGACACAGGGGACAGAGGGTCCCCGAGAGGGGAAGGGGGACAGGCTGAGATTTTTCTGGGGCAGCTGCACTGGTGATTCCTGGAATTTTGAGGCCGTGGTGCTGTTTCTTGGGCAGCGCCTAGCAGTGCTGACAGCAAGTGTTTATAGCCATGCTGAAGGTCAGGCAAGCCTCTGGAGGGCTGCTGCAGGGCTGGCTCACGAATGAACGAGTGGGGAAGATAACCAGACAGTGGCCCACCGCTGGGGAATACATCCTTAGAGGTTCCCAGGCCAGGCCCTCTCCCAGCATGCTTCTTCTCCCCGGTGCACAGAGCTGTTCCTGACCCCGGGAGGTCCCTGAAGTGAGTGGGCATGAGGCTGGCTGGGTCCTGGGGAGAGGGCCTTCTGGGGTCCTGGGCCGGGACATAGGACAAGAGCAACTTCACTGGCAGGCCCCCGGGGGCTCCTTGGGCTGAAGACGTTGTGAGACGGCAGCAAGTGCGAAGAGGGCAGGGCTTCCTGGGTGATGTCTGCTGGGCCTGCTGGGGCAGCTGTCCTGCCTGGGAGATATCTCCCCAGTTCCCTGAATCTCCCTCTTGTCCAGGGGCTAGCCATGATTGAAAGGCCCCCACCCAGGGCCCTTCCATTCCCAAACACAGCTTCTCCACCCCTTTGAAGCCAGGATCCACCTCTTCCCAGGAACCATTCTAAGCGGCATGAAGCAGACTTTGCCATCCAGGACCTAGAACTGGGGGACAAGAGGAGAAGAAAGAGACTCAGAAGGCCAGGGAAGGGTGTGGTCAGCTAGAGAGGGGGCCAGTGACCCCTGGCTTTGGCACAGGGAAGTCATTGGTATGTGTGGAGTGGTGGGGGCCAAAGTCAGATGGCTGATGTGAGAGGGATGGGAGACTGTAGAGGCCAGGCCTGCTGGTCACTTCTTGGAAATGCCTGGTGGTGAAGAAAGGGAGAGAAACATGGCAGGAGCCAGCTGGAGCAGCTAAGGCTTTTTTTTCCAAGACAGCTTTCTGAGAGCAGTTTTAGGTTCATCGCAACATTGAGAGGAAGATAAAGGGATTTCTCATAACCCCTCTGCCCCCATGCATGCACAGCCTCCCGCATCACCAACGTCCCCCTCCAGAGTGTACATTTGTTATAACTGATGAAACTGCACTGGCACACCATTACTACCCAGAGCCCATAGCTTACGTTAGCGTTCATGCTTGGTGTGTACGTTCTATGGTTTTGAACCAATGTATTATGACATGTATCCACCATTATAGTATCACAGAGAGTATTTTCACCGCCCTAAAAGTCCTCTGTGTAAGGAGAGGCTTTTTGAGCACAGATAAGACTCTGGCTTTCTTATCAGCCAGGGTGGGGCTGGAGAGAGGGGCCATGGGAAGACAGAAGCTTCCAGTGAGAGGGCAAGGGATGGAGCAAGGCCCCAGGGGAGGCCATATGGGAAGGGAACAGAGCATGGCATGACAGTAATTTAATCACACAATGTAAAGTGCACTTAGGGCTCCCTGGAAATCCCCTGGGACGTCAGCCTGGGAAGGTCAGGAGGAGGTGCTGGAAGCTGCACAGCCCACAGCACCCACTCACTGCCTGCCCTTGGCTCCCATCCCTTGCCGCACCTACGCTGGCAGGTCTAGAGGGAAAGGAAGTCGGGGACCTGTCTGCCTTTAAGCACTAGGAGTGATGGCCGGGACCTTCTGCGGAGCCCAGTGGCCCCCTCTGCTGCCAGGGAGTGAGGGAAATGGGAGCCAAGGGCATGCGTGTGCCTGAGCCCCAGCCGGTGCCTTGCTTCCCTGGGACCGTGGACAGAACTTCTCTCCCCTCCAGCTGATGCTCAGGCCCCTCTAGGGACAGGACGCTGGCTCAGGGCTGATCGGTCAGGGCTGGCCCTTCGCACACCACCCTCTGCCAGCCCCCGATCTTGTGTCCTCTGGAGGCAGGGGCTGCAGCCTCCCAGACTCCAACCCCTGGCACCTCCCAGGGGAAGGGGTCAGGGACAGCACTTGCACCTCCTCGGTTGGGAGCTTCCCTGAAATTCTCAGCTCTGCACTGTCTTTGTATAATGCCCTATTTAATGATGAAATCCTCTCCACAATCCCGGAAGAAAGGCATCATGGCTGTCTTTACGCAGAGGTCATGGAGGTTGGCACTGCAACCTCAGGTCTGGCTCAGACTACAGTCCGTGGTCTTTGCTCTACTGCTTCCCCCCAAGGCACCCGACGGTCATGGGGGCCACAACTGCTCCCTGGCACCGGCTATCCCTGTGCCCCCTCTGGGGTGCCCTAAACCATGGCCCAGCAAGGAGGGTGGGCTAAGTGGCCATCTGGGCCCCCAAACACCTACAGCCTGCCTTAGGGGCTTCCGAGACAGGACCTCGGTCCTCTAGCTCTGCCCATGGCTGGGTTCCCTGTGGAGAGGTGGCTGGTGGCTAGAAAAGGTGAAAAGTGAAATGGGAATGAAACAATCATTACAAAGAATTTTTCAGATGCTACAGAGGGGCTAGAAAGACTTTAAAGAAAAGAAAAAGAAATCCTCCAAGGATTTAGAAGCTTTGGGTCTTTTCTGGGACAAGGAAAGCAGAGGGAGGGGGCTAGGGAGTCAGACAAGAGGTACATGGGTACCTCACACCTGGACTGCACGCTTCACAAGCCCTGGGCTCTGGGCAAGTGTTCAAGTGTGGCCACACCCTTCTGCCACGCAGGCTGCTCCTGCAGAGCGAGGAGGGATCTGACGGCCCTTGGCCAGAGCTGAGGGGCAGCTTCCTTAGGGTCCCTGCCTCCTTCTCTAGGGAGACCTGGGCAGAGCTAGCAGAGCACCTCTCTACGAGAGGATTATAGCATCCTCCACCCCACCAGCCCGAGGGGTCTTGAACCCTGCTCAGGGCAGCCAAAGGTCAGGCCAGCTGAGCCCTGATGAGCACACACAGGTGCAAGGAGAGGCGCCAGGGGCAGGCTGGAGCCAGCTTGGTGGCAAATTCCTCAGGGGGTTTGGCTGTTGACCAAGCCTGGGGGAGCCTGGGCTCTTCCCTGGGAAAAGGATCATCTCAGTCTATACCTGAGGGTGAAGGGGAGCCAGCCAGGGCCAGGCAAGGGGAAGGTGGGAGCCCTGTGGGAAGGTATGATGTTAGCTAACCCATGCCTGAGGGAGAAATAAGTCCTCAAGGCAGCCTGGAAGGGAGGGCATTCCAGATGGCCCCGTGGTTTGCCCTAGCTGATCTGGCCCCAGCCTCTCTTGGATGTCATTCTGGTGTCCTTGTTCACACTTAACCCATGATCTCCTGGACACAGCTCTGGTCACCTCTGCAGGCATGAGGCCCTCCCCTCTGTCTGGGGTCTGTGGCTGTCCTGCCTGGGAGGTCCCTGCTGCAGGCTGATGGCCCCCTTCTCTGTGGATGCTTAGAAGCATCTGGGGGAGCCCTGGGTCGGGAAGCCCTGGCATGGGGGTGTCCTGCTGTGGGGAAACCCTGTGGGCAGTCCACTAAGACAGCAGAGGCATTGCACGATTCACCCTGAATGGGAGCATACTGGCGTCTGCTACTTTCTCTGAAATGCTTCAAACATAATATGGATTGATGGATGGAGAGAGGGATGGACACTTGACCAGCAAGTTGAGTGAAATGCTACAGTAGAACCTTGGTGGTGGGTATTCGGGTGCTCCCCGTAGAATTAGTTCTGCCTTACTGTGTTTGAAGGTGTTTACAATAAAATACCGGGAAGAGCAGAGGCCTGAACATGAAGCTAGAAGGTGTAGGGAAAGGTGATTTTCTTGCAGGACAGGCCTGGCTGGGCAACTCAGTTTGCCCTCAGGAGTCCCCTCTCAGCCTAGAAAGTGTTTTGCTTTTCTTTGTTGTCGTTTTTTACCCTTTGCTTAACCGCTTAAATCAAAGGAAACAACACACTCCTGTCACTAGTAGAGGCTCTGTACGGCCATTGATTTGGGGATAAGGGCGACGTGTGTTTTGAGATGGCCCGAGCGCTTCCAAGATGCCCCTACGGGAGCCTGGAGAGTAGGTGGGGCTTGGCAAACCAGACAATGTGGCTTCCTGACAATCAAGGCATTTGTTTATTGTCCTGGCCTCATCCCAGCAGATTCCAGGGGCGGTGGGGAGGCTGCTCAGGGCACAAGGTGGCCAGTGTTTAAGAAGGTACCATAGTTCCTGGGTCTGAAATGGCGGGTCAACGGCAACTGGCAAGAGTTCTCCTGGTCTTGCTATAATCACTGGGTTAACACACATGGTTCCTGGCCCACCCTGTAGAGCCTGTCTGGGAATGGGCTGGAGGCTGGTGACTGCAGGGCTCTGGTTACGATGAGAGTTCCCTCCGAGGGGCCTGGCAGGAAGTTTCCATCCATGTCTGAGAGCCCAGAATCTGGCCAGAGGCCCACCGAGGCCTGGCACCCAGGGTATGGGACTGTCCCCAGGACCTCTTTGGGCTCCTTCTAGGATGGTCCCCAAGCCTGGGCCAGAAAATGGCTTCTGCCAGCATTAGGAGCCAGTCTTGTCCTTGGGGCATAGCCAGGAAGGTGACTGGGATGTGCCCAGAGAAGCCAGGAGGACTGGCTGGTGGGCATGTTGGGGAGGAAAAGCCAAGGGACACCCTCTAGGCACAGCTCAGTGGGGGGTGACTCCCAGGGGCTCCTCTTTCCTATGATGTCACTGAAGGCAAGCCCTGCCCGGCACCCCATGTGATGTCACAGCGTGCTTCCACATTATGTCGTGGGGGTCAGGTTATAAAATCATTCTGTGTGATGTCAGGAGTGGGTGCAGCCAAAGTCTCCACGACATCCCATGAGACGCCTTTAGGGATGAAGCTTCATCACGCTCCGTGTAATGTCACTAGGGGCCGGCCCGCAAGCTATTTTAGATGATGTCACTAGGCCTTCCAGAATTCTGCATTTCATGGGATGTCACTGCATAGGAGGCCACCATGGCATTCAGGGTGCTATTACTGGGGGCTGGACATGCAGAATTTGGCATTGTGCATGTCACTGGGAGTGTGGTCACTGGGAGTGTGGTCTTCCAGACATTGCATGGGGGGGTTGGTGGGGTGGCATATCCATGGCATTCTATGTGATCACACTGGGGGTAGGGCCCCCAGACTCTAGCATTCTGTAATGTCACTAGAGTGCAAGATTTGGGAACTGGCCTCCACATCTGTACCTCCCCTTCGGGAAATATGAAGCCAACCACAAAGCACTGAGCTGCATGTCCCAGCTGACCTTGCTCCCGCAAGCAGGCCCGACAGCCCTGCCAGCCCTCTCTGCACACCTGCCACAGTAGAGTACGACACACTTACACTAGGATGCTTTTGTGAGGGTGCGTTTGGCCGGGCTACTGGCCTGGCAGCATCTCTACGGTGGTGCTGAGTCTTAGCTGCTGAATCCTTCTGGAGCCTGGAAAGTGTGCCATGGGTTTTCAAGGTGCAGATGTTATAGTAGGCTAATTGGTGTAAAAAACAACCCCCAGTTCTCTTAGCACGGTGGAAGTTTATTTCTCATTCATGCAACATCCAATTCAGTGCTCCTTAGTCATCTCCCCTCCAAGCAGTGACTCCATGATCCAGGTCCCTCACAGACAGTGGCTTGGCTGTCCTCCTCTGGGTCCTCTGCATCCAGTCAGCTGACAAGCAGAGAGAGTGCAGGATGGCAAGATGGTTGCTAGGGGCAGGCCTGGAAGTGGTGTGCATTGATTTCAGAGCTAATCTCATGGCTGCGCTCAGATACAAAGCACCAGGAAATGTGGTAGCTCTGTGCCAGGAAAAGGAAGCAGGCTTGGTGGTCATAGTGAATGAAAGACAAAATGGCAAGCCTCTACTGGATGATCCCTGGTGATTCTTCCCTGAGGACAGGTCCATCCTCAGGTCACCCTTCTTATGTTCACCTCCCATCTGCTACCCTCTCAGATCACACCGGGCAGCAAGGCCGCCCAGTCCCAGCTCAGCCCGGGTGACCTTGTGGTGGCCATTGACGGCATCAACACAGATACCATGACCCACCTGGAGGCCCAGAACAAGATCAAGTCTGCCAGCTACAACCTGAGTCTCACACTGCAGAAGTAGGTGGGAGCTCTCCAGAGCAGGGGGCAGAGGTTGGGTGTGGGCACCAAGGGCCTGGGAGAGGAGCTGTCCAGCATGGAACCAGCCTTGTGCTACCGGACCGCACAGGGAAGTGAGGACAGCCTCTGGACCAGAAGAAGGACAGGCCCAAGTCATCAAGCACCTGCCATGTCTGTGCCTCACTTTACAGATGAGCCTCAGAGAGGGTGGATAACGGTGCTGCTGGTATGTGGGCAGCCGGGCCTGGAAGCCAGGGTCTTCCCTGCTTCCTCTGTGCACAGGCAGCCTCCCTGAGACCTAGCAGAGGCCCGTGGCTGCAAAGTACCCCAGAGCCATGACTTCTCCATGCTGGTCAGGCCCAGGGGACACCCAGGTCCTCTGCCCTGGCTCCCTGGGTTCCGGATGTTCTCCCCTCTCCAGTCCTTCTCAGGCAGGAGCTCCTGGACCCAATGGCAACTGTCTTCATTTCTGGTTTTTCCAGGTCAAAGCGTCCCATTCTCATCTCCACGACAGCGCCCCCGATCCAGTCCCCTCTGCCTGTGATCCCCCACCAAAAGGTAGGTGCTGACTGTGGGTGGCAGGCTCCACTCTGGGCCGTGGTTCCCGGAGTGCAGCCCCTGGTCTGCCTGCCTGACCCTCGGCTGGCCTGACTCTGGCAAGGTGGGGGGATCAGCCCGGCCCCAGCCCTGCCCTGCCTCGGCTGATGCCGGGGAGGTGGCGCAGACCCCCTGGGGAGAAGCGTTCAAGCCCCATAAAATGCTGCATGTAGGGGTGCCCGCCTGGGTGCTTAGCCAACACCCTGGGCCTCATGGGCGGGCTGACAGGAAATCCACTTAGGCAGCGGTGTTTTCAGGAAAGGGACCATTCTCCCAGCCAAGTAGGGACAAGTGTCCAGAAGGCTCTGACCCTCATCCTCCTGAGGGCACTGGGGAGGGGGGTGACCGTGGCATGAAAGCCGAGGCCCCAGTTTGAGCTTGTCACCCCAGGAGGAGCTCCCAGGCATGGGGGGCCTGCTGGCCCTCAGGGTTTCTCCTGTGTCACAGGCTCTCTCCCTCCCGTTTCCCTTTCTCCTCCCAGTTGCACGCTCCTATACCACACTCAGAAGTGCTGGTGCAGCCAGCAGGTACCAGGCCCCTTCCCAGCTCCCTCTAAGCAGCTCAACCCTGAGGGACCCAGAGCATGGGAGGCCTACCCCACCGCTCCTACAGGACTACACACTCCCGCCACTCTCCACCCCTCCTTGCAGGACCTCATACTGACCCTGCCTGTCCAGTGGGGCAGAGTGGGTGATGGGCAGGGTGGGGAGAGGGGACAAGAAGAAGATGACGGGGGGTCTGGGGTGGGTAACAGATTGAGGAAATGGGCAGAGGGCTGTTGGGGAGAAGCTGCAGAGGCAGACTGAGGGAAGCAAATGTCAGCCCCCCTCCTTCCTCAGTTTCCCCTCTGCACCTCTACTCTGCCTGTTCACCACCAGCCCAGAAGGCCCCCTCTCACCGGCCATGTGGGACATTGCAGAGTGGGGTCAGCAGAGCAGGAGGCAGGGCTGTGCTCACCAGGTGCCCCCATTCAGGGGAAGGGGGAACAGGTGTAGGATGGAGGGGTCTCCCCACAATTCCCTGAGACCACACCCCCTTTTTTCCAGCCCGGCCGGCAGGCAGGCTGGCTTGGCCTAGCTTTCTGTGTGGGGCTTTGCATTTTGTCCAGGTGGATGACAGCTTCAGGGCCAGGAGCTTCACCCCGCTCTTTTTGACAAAACCCTTCTCTTCCAGGTGTCCTTTGTATCCCCCTACCCTGACCTCGGTGCAGTGGGCTGCAGGCTCCAGGGTGGTGGGCTGCTAGGCGCTCGCACTAACCCCTCTGTTTCAGGTTCACGCAGAAGCGCTGGGATGGGCGTGGCCTCTAACTGCTCTCTTCTCTCTCCCCTGCATGGTGCTGCCCCGGGCCAGGACCCTGCTCTGGACACGAACAGCAGCCTGGCAGCACCCAGCCCCAACCCCGAGGCGAGGGCCATCCCGGGCACCCCAGGCAACCTGGAGCTCGGGCAGACCCTTAGCTCCTCCTTCTCTCAGACCTCCGTCTTCTCCTCACACACGGAGGCCTCTGACGCTGGCCCTCCATGGGGCAGCCCGGGGGCCAAGGTCAACCTGGAGGGGGCCCTCGACTCTCTAAGCCCGAAAGCCCCGCGGGGTTCGAGCCAGCCAAGGCAGTATAACAACCCCGTTGGCCTGTACTCGGCAGAGACCCTGAGGGAGATGGCTCAGATGTATCAGATGAGCCTCCGAGGGAAGGCCTCAGGTGCTGGACTCCTAGGAGGGTAGGTAATGGGCTCACAGCTCTCCACTGGTGGTCAGGGGTCATCTGGGTCCTCAGTGCTCGTAGAGGCCTGGTCAGGTAGTCAGAGCGAGGAACTGGCCTCATTCTGGCCAGCCCCAAGCCCATGAGGCAGTGCAGGCTAGGAGCAGTGAAATCAATTATCCTATTGACATTTGCCATGAGCCGGGCCCATCATTGCTTTACACAACCTGGGGCGATGTGTCGGATTTTGCAGAGAGGGAAACTGAGGCTCAGAGAAGGTTAAGTCGAGGTCCAGCTGTCCAGCTACTAAGTGGCCAAGCTGGGCCTGAATACAAGAGACTCTGACTCCCAAAACTTTCACATCAGGTCACCCACCAAGACAGGACAAAGCCTAATAACTCCAGGAACTCTGGGGCAAAGGGACAGGCTTGTTGCCACCCCTTTGGGAGTCCTGAGAGGTGGGAGAGCAAGTTCTCTAGGTCTGGCAGTGGTCTGGGAAGGCTGCCTGGAGGAGGGAGCACCTGAGCTGGGTACAGAGAGACTGGGCAATAGGGTGAGGGGAGTGGGTTGGCAGGACTGACCCTGGCTAGGGTGGGGAAGCAAGGGAGCAGGACCCTGAGGAGAAAGGGGCCCTGCAGGAGAACAGCAGGCCACCCCCTGCTCCCCGAGGTCTAGTTAATGGTACTCTTGGAGCACAGGAGTTAAAAGAACTAGAGCCAGAGCTAGGGTGGGCATTGTGGAGGGGCTGAGGGGAGGGAGGTTCCCAGCAGAGCACATATTAGCTTCCAAGTCCTGAAGGTTTGTTATCTCATTGTAACTTCTTCCATAGCCCCATGCAATTGGTATAATCGTCTCTGGGCTGGAGGCAAAGCAGGCTGAGTCAAGGCATATGGCCCAGCGGCTAGGGGTTCAGGGCTCTTCCATGAGACTGTCCGTATCTCAGGATTATGGGGAGGATTGAAGGAGATAACACGTGCATAGTGCTGAGCTCTGTTCTGGCATACTCACTACGTGCTACCTGCCACCACCGCCTGGACTCACACAACAGGTACACAGATGAGTCAGCATTGCAGTCCAGGTCGGTGTGATCCAAGCCCACACCCTTCCTTTGACCTAGCCGCACATGGTATCTGTGCTCTGCCCGTTCACTGCTCCCCTGGGGATCCCCAGCTCCCCCAGATCCCATAGCTCTTTCTGGGATCCCGAGTGAAGCTGGGTGCTCTACGGTGTGAGCACTTGGACCCTGGCTTCCCTGGCCCAAGATGGCAAAGCTTTCTACCCCCAGGCTTTTTCCAGCAAGGGGCTTCTGCCAGAAAGCTCGGGGAAAGACAGAGTAGAAATGGACTCTTTCTCCTGCCTTGGGTGGGCTGATAGCTCTTCCTGGTTCTCTTTGGGCCTGGCCCCCAGCAGGGAGGTCATGCTCTGGTGGACCTGGACTTCCATGGGGCCCACCTGCAGTGATGGTAAGGTCTTCCCTCACAGAGGCCTCAGTCGAGGCTGGGGGCTGGTTAACATTCCATATGCTTTATCTAACACAACTCTCTCAGCAACTTCAGAGGGGGGCATCATTCCCTCATTTTATAGCTGGAAAATAGAAACCCAGAGAGAGCAAGGAATAAGGTCACACAGTTAACGAGTGGTAGATAGGACTGGCACTCAGGTCAGTCTGACTTCTCCCTGCATGGAGCCAGGGACCTACCTGCCTGTCCCATCCCTGTTTCTCCCGACTCCCGACAAGCCCTCCCATTGGCACAAGGGCTGCTCAGAACCTGACAAGTGTTAGATTATTACTTGACACTCAGAGCAGCAGGGTCCAACAGTTTCTTCAAAGGGAAGATGGGCTAGGGAGGGAATATGGTGCGTGCTTCATTCAAAGTGAAGGCTGATGCTGTGGTCCCAGCAGGAAGGGCAGAGCCTCTGACCTGGGCTAGCCGAGGGTTGAGGCCACCACCTCACAGGAGACAGGGTTGGCAAATGCTACTCCCCATGTCTGTTCATCACACACTTAATCCATGCTGAGGGCTTTACACTCAGGATTCTGTTCAGTCTGTGGAGGGCACCACCCTCTCGGTATTATGAATGAGGGGACTGAGGCTAAGACAGGTGGGTAACTTGTCCAGAGTCACAGCTCTAGGAAGAGGTAGGGTCAGGATTTGAACTCTGTCCTGTCTGGCTGCAAAAGGAAGCTCCTTCCCATACTCTCTCTCTCTGGGTAGCTTCAAGGTGATCCCTTGGCAGCTCGTATGCCCTTGGGAGGAGTGGAGAGGAGCAGAGGGGGCGAAAGGACAGCCGGGCCTGCAGCCCCCGGATCCTTGTCCTCTCTGGGGCTGGTACTGAAGGGCAGGGTCCCTCAGGCCAGTTGGTGCGAGGGCCCCCGGGGCGTTTTTACATCTTTGTCTCATTCTCCCCAAGACCTGGCTGCCCCTCTCTGAGCTCTGTCTGTTGCAGGCATCTCAGCCTCCGGGTCCTCAGGCAGAAGCTAAGCAGGGGGCAGGAATCAATGCCAAAGAAGGAGATGGCTACCTAGGCAGGGAAGGGCATAGGCAGCCCCTGAGGCCAGCACTGCCCTCTACAGGGGGCAGTGGGCTGGTCAGGGCAAGAGCTGATCCTGCAGTTGTCAGCACTGGCCAAAAATGGAGAAGGAATTGGAGATCTGTGATGGCCCTTTCCTAACATAGCTCCACTTACAGCTATTTTGAGCCTGGGAGGACAGAGGGAATTTTATCAGCCCTGAGACAGAGTTGGGCCGCCTGGGACTGGTGGGGGTGGGGATGGGGGGGTCTCCCTGGCTTTGGTCTGGATCCCCAGGGTCATGGCCAAGGGGTGACCAGGGCCAGGCCAGCTGAGGCCCAGGCTCTCCCAGCCAGAGCCCAGAGTAGTCAGATATGGGAAAGTGGCAGGGTGTGGGGAAAGGGACACCACTTTCTGCACTCTTCTCCCCTCAGGTTTCTGACAAGGGTCTGCCACTGCAAGGAATTTGCATTTAAAGAAACATAATGCAGGCAATGCCTCCCTCAAGGAGATGATACTCCAGGAGGCTGGCTCTCAGATAAGAGTGAGGTTGGGGTCCCTTTTGTAGTGTCCAAGCTGGGCTGCCTTTGTGGCGGTTTTCCTGCAATACAGGACCTGCACTTCACCCAAGCCTCCTCACTCCTCCATCCTGCCTCACTGCCCATCCACAGGGCCTTTAAGGGCAGTTACTGGGAACTGCACAGACCCCTTATTACTGTGCCCCGGGAGGAGTGTCCAGGGCTGCCTGACCCTCCTCTGGGAAAGAGAGCATGCTCCCGGGGCTGTGTGAAACCCCACTGCACACAAACCCCAGCACCACTGCAACTCCCGCTCAGGGAACAGAACTCCTGGAGCTGTCCCCCATTAAACAAGGGTAAGTCCAGAGCTACTGTCCGGCCAGGAGGCACCTGGGGCCTTAGGTGTTCCTGGAGCAGCCATCGCTAGTCCAGTCTCCATCTCCAGCTTCCTCGCCGGGGTCTACAGACAAGGTGTATGTAGGAGATTCATGTACATGGTAAATGAGCACCTATGAAGATGGACAAAAAAAACCTTTCTCCCTGGCAGAGCTTCAGGTACTGTGAACCTACGCTGCAGCTGGCATCTCTGATCCAAACTGAGCGGCTGTGATCGGGACTCTGAGCTCTTCCCCCTCCTCACTCTGCACTCTCCTCACCCAGTGCCAGTCTGGGCTGCCTCTGCCTCCACTATGGCCAGTCTGAGGACCATCCCTAGGTCCCTACGCTCAAACCCTCTGGCAGGACCCTCACTCTGATAGCCCTGTTTTCTTTGCTTTTTCTCTCCCCCACCCCCAGGTGGTAGCCAACTCTCCAGCCAAGTTAGTATCAAAGGAAAGCACGTGTGTGTGCTTGCCTGCATATCCCAGCATGCGACCGCGTGTCTGGGGGACTGGGCAGCGTGCGTCTGTGTCAGCGGCATGTGGACGTGTATGTGCATGCGTGAATGGGGGTGCATTTGTGTCCCTGAGTGAGCCTGCATGTGTGTGGAGCTGCGAGTATGGAGCGGAGGCAGTGCGGAGGGCGCTGGGGCTCCGGCAGGTGCCCCGGACCATTGTGTTTTCGATTAGCTGTTGCAACTGCTTAGACCGCAGGCTGGCTCCGGTGGGCGGGGGGTGGGGCGCGTGCTGACGCCGGTTCCGGGAGAGCCTGAAGACATTTCTAGCCCGGCCGGACCACTCGGAAGGGCTGTACCTGACCTTGTCTTTGCCTGGGGAGCACGCTTGACTGTTGAAGGGAAAAGCCTCCCTGGGTAGAAGCTGGTGGGCCACCCAGCAAGTTGGACATGGGGGCGGGGCCGCCTGAGCACCGAAGCCCTGCTCCGAGGAAGAAGCACATGCACTGAAGAGGCTGGCGGAGCAGAGCCCCGGGCCACCCAGGATGAGTCCCTTCGTGGAGGAAGCAAGCTCAGAATCCCTGCGGGTGCCCAGTGGGGCTGCTTTTTGCCTTTGGACGTTCTGGACTCCGCTTGGGCTGCCGCTGCCTCTCACGCGTGGCCCAGCTCCTGTCTCCTAATCCCAACCGCCACTCCGCACCCCCTTCCGTTTCTGCTTCCCTGCGGGTGTGGTGAGAGAGCTTTCAATGCCTGGCGCCCCCTGCTGACCCTGGGCGGTAGCTCAGGCTGAGCCGGGGCCTCCAGGGATCTGGGAAAGCGGAGACGGGCAAGAAGAACCTTCCGCAAAGGGCTCTGGGGAGGGTGAGAGTTTTTTCCCCGACCAGACCCAGCCCGCCCACGTCGGTCGGGGGGACTTGGGTAGCCTTCCTGGGATCAGGCTTAGGGAGGTCTCTCTCCACACCCCTACACCACCAGCCCTCACCTTGAGCCGTGTAACACCACCCGTTGCCCCTTCTCTCCTTCCACCCCCCTCCCTCGCTCCCCTGCTCCATGCTCCCCTCCCCCAGCGCCGACTACCAGGAACGCTTCAACCCCAGCGCCCTGAAGGACTCGGCCCTATCGACCCACAAGCCCATCGAGGTGAAGGGGCTGGGCGGCAAGGCCACCATCATCCACGCGCAGTACAACACGCCCATCAGCATGTACTCCCAGGACGCCATCATGGACGCCATCGCCGGGCAGGCCCAGGCCCAGGGCAGTGACTTCAGTGGGTAAGCGCCTCCCCTCCTCCACTGGCGCTCGATGCCTCTGCCTCGTCATCACCGAGGAGGGCACCGGGCCACTGGGCGCCATCGGAGACTTTGGGCATCGGGACCAGCTGTCCTCCATCGTCTTGATCCTCCCAGGGTACAGCCCTTGCAGGAGAGCCAGCCTTCGCCCAGGCCTCCCAGAACGTGGTGTTCTCTCTTCAGAGTCGATCTCATGGTCAGCTTTAGGAGAAGGGTGGAGAAATGCAGCATGTGCTTTTCACAGCCTCTGCATTTTCCCAGGCTCCATGAGGGGGCTGGTTTAGAAAGAGACTTCTAGAATCCTGTTAACCAGGGTCACATTCTGGATACCTCAGCTTCTCACAACTAAGCCATTCTTTGGGGGGAAGTTGCTGTGTTCTTCCAATGATGAGGGCAATTCAGGTTCATGAGTGGGTTTCTTGTTTGGGAAGGGGCCTCCGGACCAGCCATCCACAGTGCTGTTGACAGTCAGCCCCGCCACAGAGCCGGGGGGCACCCAGCACTCGCCTCCTCCTGTTGGCCCCAGGGAAGCCCAGCCTCAGGGCGGTGGGACTTAGGACATCCTTGGTTCCTGACTTTGCTTGTTAGCAATGGTTGAAGAACTTGAGGGCTGAGTAGGGAAAGAGTTGGCTGAAAATCATTTGTGGATGAAACGGGTAATAGTACAAACATTAATGTGGACCTCTCTGCCTCTTTCAGAATTTCTTTCTGTCTCTGTTTCTCTTAGTCTCTGTTTCTTCTATTTCTTTCCTTCTGTGTATGTCTCTCTTTCTGTCTCTATCTCTCTGTCTCTTTTTCTGTTTCTGTGTGTCTCTTCCTTTCACACACACACACACACACACACACACACAGAGTCCCTTACTGTATTCTACTTGGAAATACTGTTAGTATTGACTTTCAGAACTGATTATCTCTGTGGTAACATCTTATCCCTGAGTCAGGATCTCCAGCAATTGAAGGCAAGAAATCTTAAAATGATGGTTGTCCTTTTTTCCAAAACTAGGAAAAACAGATGTTGTAAGAGGGATAGAGGCGTTCAAAAGTCCCGGAGAACTCCTATAGCGTTTGGCCTTTGTAGAGCCCAACCCTCGTGGCCATGACGAGTGTGCAGGTTATAAAGTGCAGGTTCAAGAGGCCAAAGGATGGGACGTGGTGTGGACTTACTGGCGCTCCTGGTCAAAAGGAGCCTGGCCCTCTCAGGCGCGCAGTACTTCCTTCGGGCCACTAGGGGGTGGATGGTTGCTTGCCCTGGAGCCGTGAGTCAAACCCGCCAGGCTCAGGTCTGCAATTCTTTGCGGAATTCTCTGGGCAGGGTTGACTTACTTAATCCCATCGTTCAAAGCAGAAAATATGACCATGCAAGTTTAAAAACACAACTGTTGCTCATGTGTACCCAGGAAGACAGGGCTGCCCGATTAAGCCAAAGAGTTAACGGGGATTTCCTGTTAACATTTGTTTGCCACGTGTGTCCTTGGTGTGCTCTTAAAAGTGGTAGCATTGGCCAAAGGGAAGCACAATGGAAGATAATGGAAGAGCTGCTGTTCACTAACTTTATGTTTTCTGCACCTTGGGAAAAGACTACAAATCATTTGGTTTTACCTCTAGGTCGCCCATGATATATTTTTTTAACATGATGCACTGTTGATCTAATCTAGGCTTCTCCTTCCTTTCCCCTCCCCTCCCCTCCTTTTCCCCTCCCTTGCGTGCCTGGGAAGCAACATTCTTCCTTTTCCTTCTAACTCAGCCCTGCTGGGTTGATGCTGTCGTGGTGCCAGTGGGTAAAAGCTGCCCTTGTCTGCCATGAGGTGTTCCATTTCTGCTGTTAATTTCCATGATTCCTTCCTCACTGACAGTTTTCTTTTTGTCTCTCTCTCTCTTCCTCTTTTATCCACCCCACTCCCCCATAACTCATTTCTGATCCTAACCCTGCTCCCTTGTGTATGCGCCTCCCCCCGCCCTCCCATGATGGACATGCACTCACTGCTGGGTTTTCCTCTGCTTGGCAGGGCGTCACCGCTGGCGTAAGTAGACCCCACAGTATCTGTTCCGTCGTCCGTCTGTCTGGTTGCGGGATGGTGTGTGGGTTTGGTGGGATGTGCCTGAGGACAGTGGTTCTGTCCACGTTCCTCCTCACACCCACCTCACAGGTAAATGACATGCCCCGTGAACTCTACAGGCAAGTGCTTGTCTTTTGGGGTTTTCCCCCAAATAATGTCACTATGGACATAGAAATCAGAGTAATGACACCACACTGGCTGGGGGTGTATCCCGTGTTCTCCTTGCTGTGCTTTGCGGGGGCTCCCCCCAGCCTTTCTTGTCTACACTGGGACAGCGTAGGTCTTAATGTCAGAATCCACATGGGGCCATTATTCAGGGAGAGGATGCTAAGGGGGTCTGTTGGAGGCCATTCCCCAAATCCTCATGGAAGATGGATCTGGAGGACCCAGTGCCTGCCAGGACCACCCATAAGAGGCAAAAGATGAGTCAGACTTGGGGGCAGTGTACAGTGGAGTAAATGCCCACAGGTGACCTTGATGTTGCGGGGACCATGGAGTGTTTTTGTTGGCAAGAAGTTCATGCTGGAGTGGCTCCAGAGAGTGGCCTCGGACCCAGGCTCCCAGAACTGGAGGGCCTGTCCTATCCCCTCTCTGTATATATTCTTCCTGAGCCCCAGATTCTCGAAAGGCACAGCAGTTCCTTCGTCTGGCTCCCAGTGTCTGTTGCGGCAGCACCACAAGTCCCTGGTCTTTGCACAGCATTGTGGGAAGGGAAGCCGACAATGTGACTCCCAAGGGACTCACTCCTGGGGTTCACTTTATTGAGCCCTTGGAGATGTGGAAGGAACAGGGAGCACCTCAAGGGCATGTTCCAGGGAAATGGCAGCCAGTGCCTTCCATCTGTTTCAGGACCCCTTAAGACTCCTCCCTATGCCAGAAATGACCTCTCCAGCGAGATCCCAGCTTCTCCTCCACTCCCTGGTCTTCCCTATCTGATCCCAACCACAGCCTGACAGACCTGTAGCTTTCCAGGCCAGGGCGAAGCCTTGAGAGAAGTAGGGGTAGCTCCACCCAACCTTGGTCAGTCACCTTCCATCACCTTTCTCCACCTCTGCTCTCATAGCCCACCCTGAGCTGACTTAGGGGACCAATCCTAGGAGACTAGGCCAATTCTTCTGTCCAGCTCCTTGCAGAGAGGGTAGAAGACAGGGGCACTGGGGAGGTCTCCTCTCCAGCTAGCCAGCCCTCGAGGGAGCAAGGGCAGGTAGAGGCAGTCATAGCAGCAGGCAGGGCGATGCTGGACAGGGGGAGTGTCTGCGCTGGGCCATGTCTCCAGATGTGGAACATCTGGGGTGTGCAAGTCCCCAGTGGGCAGAAGTAGCCTTCCTGAGCCCTGTCACTGCAGAGGGTCTGATGGAAAGGACACTGAGCTGGGAGCTGGGAAGCCTGGGTTCTAACTCAGTGGGGCCCCTACATGACGTAACCTGGAGCTAGTCGGCTAGCCTCTCTGGACCTCAGTTTTGGCATGTGTAAGAGGAGATGGCTGGGCCACCGGTCCACAGGCTGGGGAGACATGCTGTTATTGCTGTGAGCTTCTCCTGAGCCCACCCTGACTGCTGAGAGGGCCGGCTGGGCAGCCTAGATTACCCAGCCCTCCCTGGTTGGGATAAGTGGTCATCCATAAAGCTTTTAATGTATCTTGCCCTGAAGTCTGATCTGGGCTGAGAGACCCTGGACTCAAGGGGCTCTGGGGTCCCTTCTAATTCTGATCTAGGATTTGTTCATTCAACTACGTTTTGAGCACCTACCATGTGCCAGACCTTGGGAGTCTAAGGGAAGGTCACCAGGTCCCCCTCGGGCGAGAAACTGCGCTACCAGGTCTCCCCCCCCTCGGGCGAGAAGCTGCGCTATCCGTGGGTGATGCCAGGCTTTAGGGGCCTGATTGCCTTGTTTCTCCAACTGCCTCCTCACCGAGCTTCCCTGTCTTTGCAGAGTGGGAGCCCACAGTCCTCCTCCAGGGCAGTCATGACATTGGTGGCTCCCTGTTTGGATCTCAAGCTTTGAGGAGGCCAAGGGACTGACCGTGAGGAAGCCTCTGAGTCCCCCAAATGGCCTGTCCTCACCCAGCCCCAAACTCAGGATCTGCTCAGGGAGGTTGAAATTACTTCCAGAAGACCTCTTCTGCCTCTTCTTTCCTTAAAGGAGATACAGCTCCTGGGGGCGGGTGTCTTCAGGCCTGTGTCTAGAGTTAGCCTGGGGTGTGGGGGGTACTGGCAGGAGGGTCTGAGCCTCCTGACCCTCCGTGAGCGGAATTCAGTCTCGCTGTGACCACCCTGAGCACTGAGGACCCAGGTCAAGCCGTTATTGCAGGCTCTCAGAAGGGCGTGGTGGATCTAGACAAGTAGGGGTTACCCACATGCATGGGGGGGTGCGCCAGGGGGAGGCGCAGAGGTCAGGGGCAGGGTTCCAGCCCTGCCCTTGCCCATGGCCCCTCTCTGCATTTCAGGAGCCTTCCTGTCAAAGACCTCACCGTAGACAGCACCTCTCCCGTGTATCAGGCTGTGATTAAGAACCAGAACAAGCTGGAAGACGAGGCTGACGACTGGGCCCGCCGCTCCTCCAGCCTGCAGTCTCGCTCCTTCCGCATCCTGGCCCAGATGACGGGGACAGAATATAGTAAGGGAGGGCTGTGGGATGGCAGGAAGGGGCGACGATGAAGGGCCAGCGAGGGTCCTGGGCCCTACTCCACAGTCCCATGGAAGCCGGGGAGTCGAGCCCCCCACTCTTGAAGATGAGCTGGCCTCGATAGATAGTTAGCAGCCTGCTGCGCCCCTTCTGGGTCCCTGGGGCAGGCACAGTGACATCAGCCTGCTGCTCGGCTCCTGGACTCCAGCGGTGGGCAGCGGCCTGGCTGTGGTGCTTTCCGGATTGGGATGAGAGGACTTTGCAGGCCACACCTCTGGCTACTCCCTCCCACCTGCGCCTCTTCCTCTCATGCCCCCTTTCTCCCCCTGCCCTGTGCCCAGCACACAGCCTTTTCTTTCCAGAGGTCACAGGTAGGGAGCAATAACTGTCCCATCATGGGTGGGGACTCCGTGCCCACCGAGCGCTAGTAGCTTTTCTTTCTGATGTTCCCTGTGATTCCTCCTGACCTGCAACTTCTACCCACAGTGCAAGACCCTGATGAAGAAGCTTTGCGAAGGTCAAGGTAAGTGCCTGGACTCAGGCTCTGTGGCCTTGCCCGTTCTAATCCCCTCCCTCCCAGGGCAGCCCCTAGGTCAAACGACTCATGGAAGGAACGTCTCAAGTTAATGCATTTGGAAATTCCCGACCCCTGAAGGGCTCTGGCAGATGCTGGCTTGGGGCGTGCATCCTGGGTCGGTGAGGTGGGTGCCTGGAGCTGAGTCTCTATCCCCTGGGCCCGGGCTGCACGAACGAGGACTCTGGGCTCTCCCGGCTCTGTCCCTGGGCAGCGGGCAGGGCTGCTTTGGCCTTTGCTGGGCTGTTGAGAATGAGGGCATCTCTCCCTGTGAGGCACCGGGCAGGCTGCCTGGCCTGCCCACTCATCTCAGGGCCTGTCCCCTGTGAGTCTGAAGGGTAGGCACTGGGAAGCAGGCACGCAGAGGGCCGTGCTGGGCGGGGCTGACTGACCCTTGGACTCAACTCTCCAGACCCATGTTGAGGTATCAGTTCCACAAATTGCTCAAAGCACCACAGCTGCTGCAAGGAAGCAAAGCCCTGGGTATGAGGAGTGGTTTGTGCAGGGCTAGGTGTCTCTGAGTATGGTCTCCCCGATGGTGGCAGGCCTGAGGCCCCAGCCACTGGCCTGACACCTTTGGCCTGTCGGGTGCTCATGGCCCTGTGCATGATGGGGGCACACTGCCCTGGAACCCATTGGAACCCGCTAGGGCCTTCCATGGGAGGCATGAGGCCCAGTGTGATTGTGCTTACACTTCTGGAAGCAAATGTGTCATCTGCATGTCCTTCCTGGGAGAGTCTGCCTTGGGACAGCACATCCTGTGGTGGCCTCCGTGTGAGGGGCTGGGGCCCAGAGGTGCCTTTCCACCCTGGGCCAAGCTTTCTGTTCTTGCTAACCAGTGTGTAGTGGCCACAGGACTGTGTGGAGAGTGGGACTCTGGGGTCAGCTTGAGTTGATGTGGAGTTTCTTTTCGAACCTCTATTTCTGCCAGCTGAAGTTGCTCCCACTCTTTGGCTGGGGCATCCAGTCCTGAAGTGTGGTTCTCCCTGGCCTGCTAATAGTGGCATGCGGTTCCAGTGGTGGTTCTTAACCTGTCGGTGCCTGCAGTGTGTCTGTAAAAAGCCTGAAATGCGATGGTGTTTGATTTAGTGCAAATGGTAGTATGGAGCTATTGGAGGCGTGACTAAGCTGTCGGCTCTCCCCACCCTGTGCTCCTCTGCTCCTGCGCCATTTCTGTGTTTGTCTCGCCTCCTCTTCGGAGCCACTCACAGAGATGCTCCAGTGGGCAATGTAGTCTTTACTGAAGATTTGATGGAGGGGCTTTACAGTACATACCCCATAGCAAACCGCTTAGAAATCTCCAGGTCCCTTCCATCAGGAAACCAGCAGGGACCTGCACTCTTTTTCCAGCCGCCGTCACCCCCTCTCAGTCCTTCTGGTTACTTTACGTTTCTCCCACCCGTCAATCTAAGGTCGCATCTCAGTAACCAGACACTGTTTAGAAGGTGGAAGGGTGCTGGTGGAGGTAACTTACAAGGAACTTCGGCTTCGTGTTCCCCCGGGACATTTGCGGGCTCTGTGAAGTTACTGAGAGAACACAAAAGGCAGCATCAAGGGCGGTCTGCAGGCCTTGGCGTTGGCCTTCCCCTTCCCTCCTTTCAGAAGCATCTCTCGGGGCTTGTTCGGCCTGGTCCTGTAGGCCCTTTCCCCCTGGGGCCTAACTGCCCCCTAGCTCCATTCAGATCCCAGCAGAAGGCAGGGGCTCTTGAGAACTCTTCTGCAGGTCTTGGAGTCTCTCCCTCAGCCCCTGCAGGGTTTTGCTGGAGGGAGAGCTGGAAAGGGGGTGCCAAGAAGAAACTCTAGCCTGCTCCCTCCCTCTGTTCAGGCCCCCATCCTGAGAAAGCAGCTCCCCACCCCCTGCCCCACCAAGGCCCTGTGCCACTGTCAGCCCCTCCCTCTGGGGTCTCTGGCCCTGCAGTGTAGGCGCTGAGGCAACCAGCAAGCCTTCTGCCCAGGACTGGAGGGGCCTAAGCCTGCTGCCCTTCTCCTTTTTTTCTGACTTTAATTTCTGGAAGGCTGTCTTCATGGCCTCCCCTAAAATGCCCATTCTTTCCATGGCCACAGGAGGAAGGTAGGTGTTTTTATTTCCCTGAATCCCAAGCAGCCTGTGGCCCAGAAGTGAGAGGTGGGGGGTCCAGTGGGTCCAGTGGTTCAGTTCTGTTTGTGATTAATGCCCGAAGTAGTAACTGACCACTGGTCGCGGGTGGGGTCACAGACTCATCCGAGTGGCCATCTGAGCAGAAGGGAACACACTTACCCCTGCCCTGGGTCCAGGCTGGTTAGGGATCTTGCTCCCTGGGGATCTGAGCCCCACTGATATCTGTTCCCCCTCCAAGTTGGAATCTGCACCCCCAGATCCATCTTGTTGGCTGAGGACAGACACGGCCTCTGCCTTTCCCCCTCCCAGTTTAGCCTAACTCGCAGTGGGGAATCTGAGGGTCTCTCACAAAGGCTGCACCTCCCCAGAGAAGCTTCACTGCACCCCGCTTCCAGGTAGCTCACTCCGGCACGGCCTGAGTTTGCTAAACCCAGTGCCCAGCAACCTGGGCACTGTGGCAGCCTATACAGGCTTATACATCTGCTGGGGCGCTTTTTCCTTCCTGTTGCTGTGTCCTGGAAAAGCTGGCAGGGATGCCAGGTGTTCTGTACCAGGAAGGGCACTGGTGGCCTCAAGGGCAGTAGTAATCTGCAAGTTAGAGGACCCTGCAAACTTGCCCCTCACCTGTCACTGCTCCACCTCCGAGACCTGCCCCCGCAGAGTCCCAGAGCAGCTCAGAGCCCTGCCCTGACCTCCCCTCCTCTCCTCTCCGGCCCTGGCTCCTGGCACTGTGACGCTGTCTCTGTAGCTGGTAGCAAGTAGCTTCCCTCCGAGGCTCTAGTGCCCACCTGCTGGCCTAATCTCCAGGGACTCTGTCTTTACAAGGGAGGCAGGGGAGGCCCGGAGCAGTCCAGGCATCAGCTGCAGACTTGGCTCACCTCCCAGGAAAGACCCAGCACCTTAGCAAACTGTCCAGGTGGGCTTAAACACCAGCCTACTGCCAGGTTCAACATGGCTCCCAGCCTTCATCTGACGTAGCAGAGCCCCATCCAAAGCTGAGCCTCTAATCTCAGAGAGGTCACCACGGCTTCTGTCTGACTTCCGGAAGGCATCCCAGGGCCCAGATGGCTCAGAAGGTTGGGTCCACGTTGGGCAGCCCTGACAGGGGTGGGAATACAGGCAAGCCTAGCTTCATCCTAGGCAGGGCTTGAATCTGCAAGGCATCTGGATCCCACCGCTTGGGCGTAACCGTCCTGGAGGGCCCCGGTGTGTAACTCAGGCATCTCCTGGTCCCCACCTTGTGGTGCCGCTGTCTACACGTTCAGTCTCTGTGTCTACATAAATGCTCCCCTCAGGAAAGAGCTCCGCGTCTCTTCCCGGTCCCCCAGCATTAAGGAAAATGTTGATTTTAGTGACCAGTTCCCAGGGGAGTTGAAGGTGAGGGTTGCGCTGTACAGCAGTGCATCGCAAACAATGTAAAAACCCTCTGAAGCCCCTTCTCTGACGTGCAACCGTCCAAGGTTCTGTTTCCTCTCCACCCCACCCCCACTTCTAACAGAGCACCAGGACTCACTGGTTTCCCCCTCCTCCCCCTGCAGCCTCCCTGGGCATGTCGGTGTCCTCCTTCTTCCCCGTGCACGCTCAGCTCTGTCCCGGCTCACGGGCAGACTCTCCTGGTGCTGGCGCAGCTCAGGGCTGGTAGCGAGAGTTCCGTGGATTTTCAGTCTTTGGTGTTCTGCCAGCCTAGCAAGTTCAAAATTCACAACTAGAGAGACCAGGACGCCCCCAGGTGTCACCTGAGCAGCCCTCGTTTGTGTCCTGGGACCTCCCTCCCTTTCTCTTTCACCCGCTCTCCAGTCTCTTCCCGTCTCTTCTCTTCCTCCCTCTTCTTGCTTCTCTCTTTGGCTAGCTGTGAATTTCCCAACCGCTTCAAGCAGAGCAGACTCACTACCCTCGCCGATTCTCCAGGACTGTTCCTGACCCTGTCACTGAGCATTGATGAAAAAGGCTTGGGCCTGGCTGGGCAAACTGGCCGCGTCTGTGTCCTGGGTGGTCTCTATGGGCTGGTCCACTGTTGCCGCCTGTGGTGCTGTCTGCAGGGGTATGTGGGCTCCGCCACAGGGCCTAGGCTTCTGCTGTCATTGCTCCTTCTCCCCAACCCAGGAGAGGCAGTAGCAGGGGATGCCTGGCACTTAGATCGTGGTTCTGCCTCTGAGTTTCCGTGTGGCTTTAGGCTATCCATGTGATGTGTTTGGGCCTTGGCTTCTTCTTGGTATTAGGCAAGTTTGGACCAGTGGTTTTCAAATATGTTAGCAGGGGGCCCCTCTTGTCAAACAGGATCTTACACAGAGACCCATATGCAGGACTTAAGGTATAGGGGAGAGTCTGTCAGGTAATACAGATGTGGGAAGGTGGCCAGGTGTACATGTGGGGACACAGGACTGTTACCATACAGAAACGTAAGACCAGCATTGCCCCGTCCTCTGACTTGTAAAGACCTAAAGCCGATCTTCCTGATCTTTACATGCTGGCCATTCATTTGTTAAACTATTCATCTTGAGACAATTACAGATTGGCATGTAGTTATAAGAAATAATACAGAGAGATCCTATGGAGCCTTTACCCCCAGTGGTAGCGTCTTGGCAAAACGATAGTACAATATATCCCTACCAGGGTGTTGACCCTGATACAGTCGAATGCAGAATACTTCCATCACCCCGGGATCCCCCCCATGTTCCCCTTTCATACCACACCCACCTCCCTACTGTGCACGCCCTGTCCTTAACCCACAGCAGCCACTAACCCGTTATCCGTTCTCTGTTTCTATAATTTTGTCACTTCAAGGATGTCATGCAAATGGAATCATACAGCCTGAGACTTCATGGGATGGGCTTTTTCAGTCCACCTAATT